AGCGATTACCATCAGAAGGACCTTTTCGGCTTCTGCGTACGAGGTTCTGCGATGGGTTAGACGCAAATGGATATCTGGCCGCCAGTAGAAGACGAGAGCCAAGGAAAATCCAGAAACCACCACAGCCATGTACGTAGCTATTGAATAAGTTATGCTCCTCCGATAGCCAATTACTTCCTGGGAAGTTTAAGTGTATAATGAGAAGGAGGAGAATGATCAGCCCTACCAGTTCATCGCATGTGGCTGAGTCCGCTGAGTCCATTTTGGCTAGTGACACGAATAGGTTTTCCAGATGGGCTGCGAGCGAGGTGATGCTGCGTGTCAGCTAAACGTCATCAGCGCGTTAGTAGTCCTGATTTAAAAAATATGGCAATGTTAAGTCGGTGAAATTAAAAATTATTAGTCGTTTAGCATGCACGGATCAGTAGACGCTATGTGAAAATGTTTAACATACTTGGTGTTGGAAATGACGAGTCTTATTCCGAATATTTGCTGTAATTTTAAATATATTATTGGTAACTAAAGCACGAAACTCTAGTTGTAAACTCTAGTGAAAATGAGGAACGAATTCTCTGAAGTATACTTCCGAAGTTTTCAGTTTTCAGAACACAACGCATACTTTTGGTAGAGTTGCAAGTGTTCACATGGAAACGTTCGCTGGATTAGATACTACTGAAAACGAATATTTCATTGCGCCTATTTATAGTACCTACCAAATATTGATCTGGCACTTTTATGTAAAGTTTGAGAAAAGTTATTACGAAAGGTAATGACCGATTTTATGACTTGCTGACTTCATCAGGTACTTTACAAAGAGTGCCAAAAAAACAGAAACGCGTCTATGCAATTCTGCATGTATCGTGTAGCAGTGCAGATGGCTGACTGGGAAGTGAAACGTAGAATTGATAAAAGCTCACATACCATCAGCGAAAGGTGGTCAGTTGTACTTCAATAAATTTGAAAAATGATTTAACTGAAAGGTCTAGCGCATTTGTTTTGAACGTTACTTTTTTTCTTTTATACCAACATACATCATAAAGCAAACTGTCATGTACCCAAATAGATAGTAGGAAGTTTAAATCCAAAAATGACTTTATGAAAGCAAGTATGCAGAAAAGAGATCCACTTACAGCCGCTAATCCATTTTATGCTTAGGGCTCCACCCGTGATTTTTGAATCTACTCTTAAAGTTGCAATACATCCAGTTTTTGATATATATGTAGTCAGTTCACTAGACTGTCACCAAATATTATAAGAAAACACTGAGGTGTACGTTAGAATGAATCTAAAAGCTTTGTTTACTTCTGATAGAAAATAACTGAAAATTGGTTTCTAGAAGGAACTCTACGTTTTAAAATGTAAATCGAGTACTGCAAGGTATTCGCAGCCTCACCGTTTTGCGACAGGAAACTGGTTCAGTCATCGGACCATCGACAGCTTGCACCACTTCACGAAGCTAACCAGGGAAAGTTTTATAGTTAACGGTTCCAGTTCACTTTGAATTCGGTTAGAATGGTCTGACTCGTGCAAATACGAACGTACATGACACTTACAAGAACAACTGTACTGTCCATGCCACTTCACAATAATGTTATTTCTCACCCGCCTCTTGAGAACATATCGCAAAACTCAGTTTCCAGACGGAGACTACTTGAAGGGCAAGTTTGACTTTATATCCAAAAAGTGAGCCCTTCTTCGTGAGTATTCTCAAGACCCCACTAAATGACACATCACCTTTATGGAGGTGATGCTTGTTTGGACAAAACCTAGAACTGTATTGATTTAGGATTCATGCGTCTTCTGTGGTATAAATGCTTTATAAGGGCAAAATATAAGATCACCAAGGAGTACTATTTGAGAATAAGAGCACCTAGCGAAAATTTGTAGGAATGCCACTTTATTAACAGGTTAAATGATACGAAACAGGAACAAGTTTTCAGGGCTAATGTGGAATTTTTCATTTAGCAGAACATTTCCTCTAAAAACGTTTAGTACGCAAAAGAACGCATTTAGCCCTCTGGTCACATAGGTGCAACGTCCCATCAGATCTCAAAAGAGGTGGACCCAGAATGTACTGTTTAAGTTTCAATTAATAGACCACGTGGAGTTCGAGTTTAACCAGTGAAACGTAAACTGATGCGGAGTCATTTATTTCGCCTCCTCCAGGGTTTCAGTTCAGAAACTAATAATATAATCATATGCTAGTAGGTAGTGGATTCGCAAAGGCCTGAATAGTACACATTATATATACAGTAGTCGCCGGCTATTAAGCCCCCCTCGGGCCCAGACCAAATTGG